GGAAACAGGTTAACCAGTAAAATAAGGCTGAATACATATTATTGTTTCAAGTCCGAAACTTCCCTAAAATGGTCTAAATCAAACAAGTAAAACAAAAGTGAAAGAATAACTCTAAAGACATCTCCCTAGAAAACACTAAGATTCTGTTTAGATAAATTTTTCCACAAACACTTCCAACAACATAAATAAAAAGAGAAAACAAATCAAACTTCTACCATAATAAAATCAACTTTTGGAGAAATTAGATAAAAGAGTTTCTAGGAGAAACTCAAATTATTTTATAGTTTTTACTTTTGTCTTCTATAATTATTATGGAATAACAAATCGGTCTCGACTTCATTTGCGATAAACATCAGATTAACAAATCCAACCAAAACACGCTGCCTCCAAACTGAAAACCCCACAACTACTCAACCTGTCACCTCCTCCCTAACTCAGATGCCTTGATCAGATTGGTACACTGCTCTCCACTCTCTAATCACTATCAACACTTCGAAAAGACAACGAAGACAAAGAAAAAAACACCGCACCATTTATATCAATCACAACAAGAATCACCATATTCGTATCAGTATCACCCGCAATCAGAAACTATAAAATGTACGAACAGATCAATCTACAAAATTCATGTGGAAATAAATCAAACGAGTGTGATACGAAAAGAGTGAGTTACAACCTAGATGGATTTGCATGAGCAGCCAACCAAGGTTCAACTACTGACGCTCCAAAAGAATCAACAATATGCTTGTGATGACCCTCAAATTTCCTCCCTCCCAACGACTTACTACACTCCGCCAAATTTGCCTGCTTCGCCAGCCAATTCAGCACCTTCACCCCGTCCTCAAACGCCGCCGGGAACCGATTCTCCGGCGCCAGCCGGTAGCCGACCGCCACCACCACCGCGTCGCAGAGCTTCGCAATCCTCCGGCAGAACATATCGTTCGCTACCGAATCATTGCTCCCGCTCACCCACCCCCCGCCGTGGAACTGTAACACCACCGGTAACTTTTTCCGGCGACCGTCCGCCGCCGGCAAGTACCCCCGGTACTCCCCGGCGCTGCTCCGCCTCGTCTCCTCCCGCGGCGTAAACACTGAGGGCTCGTAGCTATTTCGCCGCACCGCGCGCGACGACGCCGTTTCAAGGTTCCCCGCGGATCCAGGTTCGGATTTGTAGATAGTTTTGGATTTGGGTTCGGGAGAGAGTGCGGAATCGGGGAGGAAGATTCGGACGGAGAGGGAGGTCACGGGATCGATGTGGATATCTTTGGTGGCGATGCCGTCGGAGAAGGAGGGGTTGGCGGCGGCGACGGACTCGTCGGGTCGGGTCGTAACACCGAACTGGTTGGATTCTTCGGACGGGGCATGGATCTGGTTCTGCAAACGGTTCTTTAGGAGAAACTTAAAGAAGACGCTGTAGAGTTTCACCGCCACGGTCGGCATCGCTGGTAGAATCAAATACTCGGGGGTTTGCAGAAACCGGACAACCGTTAATTAGGATAATTTCATGGCTTAATTTGGATAGGATTAGGTTAATTGAGCTTGAAATCACATGAGACTAGGGTTTTTTCCGTTCTGTTATGAGTTTGAAGGTTTGAATTGAATGATTCTGATTTGAAGCTTGGGTTTGGACGACGGTGACGAAGGTAAGAGGGAGGAAGAAGAGAAGAAAGATGACACAGCACGCAAAGGGTGAGAGAAAAAGAAATGAGATTTGAATTGATTTCTCTTTTCTTATTTTCTTTAAAATAAAAAAGTGTTTGCCCTTTTGCATAAACAAGCTACGGGGAAAATATATTTATTCATTTTTAATAATTAAAATTTATAAGATTTTAACCTTTGCTAGGTATTAAAAACTGGCTTTTGTTAAATGTACAAGTTATATTCAATATGTTTTTATGAATAAATAATGAAAATGTTGAAATTTATTACTACATTGCTAATTATACAACTGCTTCAAATATTATTGTCACATACACTGTCTAGAAGTGAAAAATAACTAAATATAAAATAATATTAAATCAAAGTACAATAAATTGCACATATTGTAACTATTTTAAATTTGTAAATAAAATTTTGAAGTCACGTTGTTATTGTTTATTATTGCTATATTCAACCAAATACATAAAATAACATATAATTGTCTGAAGAAAAATATATTTGGCTTGATTTTTTCAATTAAAATTATCATATTTTTCTGCTTTTTTTATTAGTGTGTATAGGTTTTTCTTTGTGTAACAACCAAAAATATTAATTATTTTAGCTATATTTTGATTATTCTTTGATTAATATATGTTCGATCTTTCAAGGAATTTATATTTGTTTTAAGAAATATATTAAATCTTTTTTATACATATTTGAAATCTTTCATATACTATTCATCATTATCTATAAAATCCTCTATTTACGTATATAATTTGAACATATATATACGATTAGTGCAAGTGGACATCAAAACACTATAAAAGAAATGAATAGTGAACTTCTTTATATCATAATTTTTTATAAATATTTAAATAATTTTTGTAGTGACTATTCAAGATAATTTAGCTTCATCAGTCAATATACCACATCGTACCAGTCATATATTCATAATCATCAATTAAAACTTTAAAATAATCTAGACTCAATTTTAGAAATACTCATGCACTGAGTTTAATACTGGTGCTAGTCATGCACCTATCATAAATTTTCTCGAATTAAATTTAACATCAATAACAACATTCCCCTTATACAAAGTTCATCATTCTTATCCTAAACCACCATGACAAGGTTAATTCCTTTCTATCCTTTTAAGTCATGGTATTATCTAATATTGATTCCGTAGACTGGAAATCTCCTTCTACTCTTACCACCTAGACTCCATTCTCTACATGAGTACGAGAGTTAAGTAAAATTAGGATGACTTCACTCTTTAAATTCAAACTCAATGCAACCATATTTTATTGAATATGACACATCTCCTTAGGATTGTTCATATTAATACAATTCTTACAATCATAATGTATTCATATCACATGATCTTATAGGTTTTTGGTATTCAATCCTAAATTTTATTCATTCTCAGGCATGCCTTCACTCCACTATTCTCATACCATCTGTTTCAGTGTGAATTGTGAGACCGAGACACTAACCTTCGACTGGTGCGCTTCACTGGTCTGCTTCCAGTTTAGACCGATCGGTCACCTTCAATATTGGCCGCTCGGTTGTAAAAGAGGGGAGGTACCTGCAAAAGACACTCCGACGATCAAGTTAGGAGTGGTTTTATAAACTGTTTGTTACAGTTAGATATTGAAGTCCTAATAGGATGTATTGTAGTATGAGTTGAATCTCTCTGTACCTCAAGCCTAAACTCTTATTTATAGAGTTTAAAGGAATCTGACCAATTAATTTATCTCTTAATGGTCATTAATGCAAACCTTAATTGTCTAACGGCAGTCATTACCACATTTATTTGTGCATTAAATCTGCTCAACAACTGTCGAGACCGAACGACAAGAGGCTTGCCGAGACCACCGATTGAGAAGCTGATAGACCAATACCGATCGGTTGCCTGCAAGTCCATAGTAACATAAGCCCCCCAAGTCCGAGTTAATCGTTCGGCTTTAGTCAAACGGTTAACTATAGGACTTATGAGTTTGAGGGAGGTTGTTCTCATTGTATTAAGGAGTTTGCTCTCCGTGTGCTTCAAGTCGTTATATCGTATTAGTGACGAACAGTTCCATGTATTGAATTTGGCCGCATGCTTGACAGTCCTTGTTATCAAAGCTTCCTGATTGATGAGAGTGAGAACCGTTCAGTTGAGAGGGATTTTCTTCTCAGTCTTTGGCTTCGACCTTGACGAGGGTTTTACCTCTCGACCGAGTGGAATTTACCGCTCGGTCTTTGTTCTCAACTTTGACGAGAGGGATTTACCTCTCGGTTGTGATTTGCAGGATCTTGTTACCTCTACTGAAGAAATATAACAACTCTAAATTTGATATGGTGAGAAAAATAGTAGCCAAACAAACTGATGCATTAATATCAGAACAGGTTGTTATAAGACCAGTCGGCCAATCAATTAAGATCGTTCGATATTCATTCTTTATGAAGGAATTTACCTCTTCGCCGAGCGGGTTTTACCGCTCTGTCTGCAAATCTTTATAGAGGAATTTACCTCTTCGCCGAGTGGGATTTACCGCTCGGTCTTCGAATCTTTATAGAGGAATTTACCTCTTCGCCGAGTGGAATTTACCGCTCGGTCTTCAAATCTTTATAGAGGAATTTACCTCTTCGTCGAGTGGGATTTACCGCTCGGTCTTCAAATCTTTATAGAGGAATTTCCCTCTTCGCCGAGTGGGATTTACCGCTCGGTCTTCAAATCTTTATAGAGGAATTTACCTCTTGGACGAGTGGGATTTATCGCTCGGCCAAGAGGGCTTTACCTCTTGGTCTTTATCTTTAATTTTGACGAGAGGGTTTACCTCTCGGCCGAGCGGGATTTACCGCTCGGTCTTTTTCTTCAGACTCTTTATAGAGACTTTTTTCGCTGGATATGCACTTCTTTAGCAACGTTTGGGAACAATTGATTGGGCACCAATTACCTGGCCTTATTTATTCCATAATGAAAGCGTAGGACAATAACAAAAGTCTAAATCAAGTGAAACTAAATTTAACAATGACATTAATAGAGTTTTGGAGATTTCTCCTTAGTTGATAAATCCACGAACCGACCGTTCCCGATGACGACTGGGACTACGACTATAGCCCCGCCCTCGCTCGTCTTTCCTATTTGCCTGCTCGGGGCTTCTTTGCGAATATCCTTCCTTGGGGAGGTTGTATCCTGCTTCCTTTATAAACCTATGGAGATGTCCCGCCCGGATTAGATTTTCTATTTCATTTTTTAACGTGATGCAGTCTTCTGTAGTATGTCCATGGTTTTGATGGTACCGGCAACTCTTCCTTTCATCTGCGTTTCTTGGAGATGGTTTCCTTCGGGGTGTGAGAAGTTTTGCACTAAGGGCTTATTCGAGAACTTTTGCCCTAGGTGCATTGAGGGTTGTACAATGGTGAAACTTGAATGGCCGGGGAAACTCCCTATTCTTATCGTTATTGTCGAACGGTCGTTTGTTGTCCTTTCTACTTCCGCCCACATCAGCCTCTTGTTGTCGTTTCCTTTGTGACAATCGCATTTCCTCCATACGGATGAACTCAGCTGCTCGCTCCTGTAGCTCCTCCATAGTTTTTGGCGGTCGTGCATACAATTTTTCCGCAAAATATCCTGGTCTCATACACGAAGGCAAATTATTGATAATAAAAGATTGATCTATCTCTCTAACCCGTCGTGCGGTTTCAGTATACCTCTTCATAAAAGCCTTCAAAGTTTCTCCTTTCTCTTGCTTAGTGTTTACCAAATCCGCCAGTGTTACCTCCTGTTTCCGATTGGATGCGTATTGTCTCCTAAAGAGGTTTTCCACAGTAGCGAAGCAATCCACTGTGTTGGGAGGAAGAGTGTTATACCATTCCAATGTCTCTTCCTTAAGTGATAACGAGAAGGCTCTGCACATGACCGGGTCGCTGTCTGTATAGAATGCCATAGCATTACCGAACGTCCTTAAGTGATTATCCGGATCAGCCGAACCATCATACTTATCCAACACGGGGGGAGTCTTTTCCGGCATTGGGGTTTGCATGATGGTCGCCGTGAAGGGCAATAAACTGGTAGGTCGAGCGGTCTGCGAGGGTGTTGGTTCCCTTCTAGCCCGACCGTTCGGGTTGACGTGATTATGACTTGCCTCACTAGCATTCTCCCGATTCGAGGCGGACCGCTCGGGAGGTTCCCGTTCGGCCTTAGCGCCCTCATCTCCTCCTCATGCCTCCGCCGCATCTCTTGCTGCGCATGCGCTTGCGCTTGTATAGTCTGCGCCTGTGCCTCAATCTGGGCTTGTAACTCTCTTATTAAATCTTTGGTGCTCTGCTCCCCCATATTTCTTGTGGTCACCATTGGGTGTCTTCAGCTTGCTCTCGGCCCCACGGTGGGCGCCAAAATATTTCAGTGTGAATTGTGAGACCGAGACACTAACCTTCGACTGGTGCGCTTCGCTGGTCTGCTTCCAGTTTAGATCTATCTGTCACCTTCAATATTGGCCGCTCGGTTGTAAAAGAGGGGAGGTACCTGCAAAAGACACTCCGACGATCAAGTTAGGAGTGGTTTTATAAACTGTTTGTTACAGTTAAATATTGAAGTCCTAATAGGACGTATTGTAGTATGAGTTGAATCTCTCTGTACCTCAAGCCTAAACTCTTATTTATAGAGTTTAAAAGAATCTGACCAATTAATTTACCTGTTAATGGTCATTAATGCAAACCTTAATTGTCTAACGGCAACCGTTACCACATTTATTTGTGCATTAAATCTGCTCAACAACTGTCGAGACCAAACGACAAGAGGCTTGCCGAGACCGACCGGCTGAGAAGCTGATAGACCAATACCGATCGGTTGCCTGCAAGTCCATAGTAACACCATCCATTCTCATTAAGTCATAAAAAGTCATCATAGAAAATTTCATATTCTATCAATTAAGTTTCAATCAAATATTAATCATTCAACTTGTCCTTTAACATTATACACAAATAAACCTATAAGACTCTAGTTTCAAAGACGTGTACATATGGTGTCAATATTTTTTTAAAGTTTTGCATTTGTCATAAATTTTTAATACAATAGAGTCAACATCAACAATAATAGTTCCCATTATCCCAAAACGACCATCATTATCACTATCACCATGATTGGGTTAGTTCTCTTCCATCCTTTAAATCATAATACTATTTCGTAGTGATCCTGTAGACTAGGAATCTCCTTCAACTCTCACCAACTAAATCTCTTTCTTTATATAAGTATGATAATTTAGTAGAGTCTTGATGACTTCATGTCAGAATCCCTACACCAAGTATAAATTACACTATACAATATAGACATTTCTCCTTAGAAATATCCATATTTCATACAATATCCAATATATATATATATATATATATATATATATATATATATATATATATATATTGTTTCAGTCGGGTTTAGTGGAACTATGCTAAAACACTGCTGATTGTACCGAAGACTGGCGAACCTTACAGATCGGACAAACGAAGCAGTTTGAAGATCGGACGGAAGGGCTCAGGGCGAACGGACGATGCTCCATGCACTGGGTTGAATACCGGGCGAACCTTGCTCCAAACGAACGGGTGTCGGAGACTTGTCGAACGTAGCTCCAAGCGGACGGACGTTGGGAGCTGGATGAACGTTGAAGCGGACAGACAGTTCTTGTAGCGGACGAGTGTTGAGGCCTGGTCGGAAGTAACTCGCTCTCCCTCCTTCTCCAAGCCGGACGGGGGCGTACCTATTAAAGGTGCTCCGACGCTCAAGTCAGTAAAGTGACCGAACGATTATAATAAGTGATGCAAGTAGTGCATAATGTGCAGTGTGTGCAGTCTGCCTAGAAATCATACCTGGGACTCTTATTTATACGGGTTGTAATGAACTTTTACATGTCGTCGGTCTAATGGCGGCTCAATCACGCCTTAATCTTCATTAGGGGCTTTAATAAGCTATTATCGTTTGTAACCTACCATGTGGTCGACCTAGCACTTAGTCGGGCGGGATGGTCAGCGACCGACATGGGTGGTCGGCCTGGATAGAACCGTTCGACTCACAGGGTCGGGAGGACCATACAGTATATCGACCTTTGGAAGAGTCAGACTTGGGAGAGCTGTTCAGTCAGACCTGAGAGAGTCGACTTTAGGAGAATCGTTCGGTCGACCCTGGACGGTCGGCCTAGATGTGCGAGAGATCGTACGGTGTGTGTGTGTGTGTGTGTGTGTATATATATATATATATATATATATATATATATATATATTGTTAGAATAAAGGGCAGAAGTGTCACTTCCCACACTCAGATATTACATTCACTTTTAAATGTAATGTGAGCACGTGAGAGTGAGAGAGAGACAAAACGTGGAAAGAGAAAATGAGAATCAGAGAGAATGAAGGTCACCGAGCTCTGCTAGGGTTTCAGCCCCTTTGCCTGATCACCACCACACACACACGGCGGAGCACCACCACTCAGGATTTCAGACCGATCAAAAGAAAGCACACACTCACAAGTATACTGTATAACTTTCAAAACTTTTTATTTTTCTTGAAATGAATGATACAAAGTATATTTATACACAACTGCACACACAGTAACAGAATAGCTTCTGTTTTGTTTATTTTCCAACACTCCTCCTAAACAAAACGGTAAAGATAACATGATTCTGAAGAAAAACTAAAATTTTCAACCCATTTCACCGATTGATCGGTGAAATCTTCAATTTTTCTACTCCGATCTGCTTTCTAAGTTTTAGAAAGCGTTCCCCTTTCAGTGCTTTGGTAAGAATGTCTGCAATCTGGTCTTCAGATCTGCAGAACACCACCTCTAGCTTCTTCTTGCTGACTTGCTCTCTGATAAAATGAAATCGTGTCTCAATGTGTTTGCTCCTACCATGCGAAGTAGGATGTTTAGTCAGGTCAATGGCTGACTTGTTGTCAACAAGCAGTTTGACCTTCCCTCTCCCTTCAATTTTTAACTCCTTCATCAGTGAGTCAAGCCAGGCTGCCTGACAAGTGGCTTCACATGCTGCAATGTACTCTGCTTCACATGAGGACAGAGCTACAACAGGTTCCTTTGTAGAGCTCCAGGAAATAGGTGCCCCATCAAAGAAAAAAACATACCCTGCTGTACTCTTCCTATCACCCTTGTCTCCACACCAATCCGAGTCAGAGTAAGCAATTACTCTTACCTCTCCTCCTGATCCATGTTTAGGCAGCAAAATTCCATATTCAATGGTACCTTTTAGATACCTTAGAATCCTTTTTACAGCATTTAGATGAGACACTCTGGGGTTTTGCATAAATCTGCTGACCAATCCCACACTGTAGCTAATATCAGGTCTTGTATTACACAAGTACCTTAGGCTTCCAACCATTCTTCTATACTCAGTCGGGTCAACAGCTTCTTCCTCGGGATCTTTCTCCAGTTTTATGCCCACCTCTGCTGGAGTAGTAGCAGAGTTGCATTGATCCATGTTAAACTTAGTTAACATGTCTGTAATGTATCTAGACTGATGCATCATCATACCTGTATCAGTTGTAGTAAATTCAATCCTAAGAAAGTAACTCAGTTTACCCAAATCACTCATCTCAAACTCATGTAGCATCTGAGCTTTGAACTTGTTAATTCTCTCATCACTGCTGCCTGTAATCAGCATATCATCTACATACAGGCACACAATTACCATATCCTTCTTGTCCTTCTTCTCATAACACTGAACGTATACCCCATGTTCAGACACACATTTTTCAAAGCCAATGCTGCTCATGAATCCATCTATCTTCTGGTTCCAGGCCCTTGGAGCCTACTTGAGCCCATATAAGGCCTTCTTCAACTTATACACCTTGTAAATGTGCCTTTTATCTTCAAAACCTTGAGGTTGAACCACATAAACTTCCTCTTCCAGGTCTCCATTCAAAAAGGCAGACTTTACATCTAATTGATGTAAAGCCCAGTTGTTTTGTACAGCNGAGTCTTTTCCGGCATTGGGGTTTGCATGATGGTCGCCGTGAAGGGCAATAAACTGGTAGGTCGAGCGGTCTGCGAGGGTGTTGGTTCCCTTCTAGCCCGACCGTTCGGGTTGACGTGATTATGACTTGCCTCACTAGCATTCTCCCGATTCGAGGCGGACCGCTCGGGAGGTTCCCGTTCGGCCTTAGCGCCCTCATCTCCTCCTCATGCCTCCGCCGCATCTCTTGCTGCGCATGCGCTTGCGCTTGTATAGTCTGCGCCTGTGCCTCAATCTGGGCTTGTAACTCTCTTATTAAATCTTTGGTGCTCTGCTCCCCCATATTTCTTGTGGTCACCATTGGGTGTCTTCAGCTTGCTCTCGGCCCCACGGTGGGCGCCAAAATATTTCAGTGTGAATTGTGAGACCGAGACACTAACCTTCGACTGGTGCGCTTCGCTGGTCTGCTTCCAGTTTAGATCTATCTGTCACCTTCAATATTGGCCGCTCGGTTGTAAAAGAGGGGAGGTACCTGCAAAAGACACTCCGACGATCAAGTTAGGAGTGGTTTTATAAACTGTTTGTTACAGTTAAATATTGAAGTCCTAATAGGACGTATTGTAGTATGAGTTGAATCTCTCTGTACCTCAAGCCTAAACTCTTATTTATAGAGTTTAAAAGAATCTGACCAATTAATTTACCTGTTAATGGTCATTAATGCAAACCTTAATTGTCTAACGGCAACCGTTACCACATTTATTTGTGCATTAAATCTGCTCAACAACTGTCGAGACCAAACGACAAGAGGCTTGCCGAGACCGACCGGCTGAGAAGCTGATAGACCAATACCGATCGGTTGCCTGCAAGTCCATAGTAACACCATCCATTCTCATTAAGTCATAAAAAGTCATCATAGAAAATTTCATATTCTATCAATTAAGTTTCAATCAAATATTAATCATTCAACTTGTCCTTTAACATTATACACAAATAAACCTATAAGACTCTAGTTTCAAAGACGTGTACATATGGTGTCAATATTTTTTTAAAGTTTTGCATTTGTCATAAATTTTTA